GAAGGTGGTGAGATTCTCAAAATCCACTTCTAGCCCTCTTATCTATCATAGGAAGTAACAATGGATCTCAAGATTAGCTTACATCTGGCCGGTTTTGGAATTCCTGAAGTTCAGGAGAGCTTTTGGCCATTTCCCATAAATGGGTTTGGCGGTCGCAGGCAACGTCTACAATTCCAACCTAGAAATGCCAAATTCAGAAAGTGATATTCAAGACTGACGCAGTAATTCTAGACCTCACATAGTCAGTGGTGGCGTCAACTGTATGAATGGCTACAGGAACAAAACCTGTAGGCCATCCATCAACAGCAGGATAATCCGAATCAGCGATAGCATTGCTGTTATTCTGACTATACATGCCGAGAAGGTTCGACATAGCCGATATTATGGTTCGATTTTTGTCCGTCGAGCGAACATAGATCTGCAACAGTTCCGTGAAGAAAAAGGGAGAAAGCAAACATATTAGCAATATTGAAAATTCTGTAACGCGTTCAGGGAAGGCATTCAGGTACTGTCGTTTGTTGATTTTATTCAAATACCGTAAAATTCATTCAAAATCTGTGAATTTGCTCAACTTGAGAGCCAAGTGGTTGAGGCAGCCATCTTGTGATTTTCGACTTCAAACTCCTCCCACTTTAGCGCATGTCCAGCCCACCAGTTGCAGTTCACCTCAGTGATAATTCCGCAAATAAATTTTTTAATCACAATGGAGAGGTCATAGCATGCAAATAAGTGATCCAATATTTGATTCAATTGGGGCAATTGGAAGAAAAAGCGTGTATCCCCAAGATGAAAACAGAATTCTTCGCTTCGAAAAGAAACTATTTGCCTTTAAATTTATTAGAGCTCTATGATTTAGCTCTTGGAGATAAGGGGTGTCCCACAATTATGGGTATACATAGCAACATATTATATTTTAAGCTCTTAAACGGAGGATGGTGAAGGAATTTATATATAAGTTACTTTCCATCATGCACAACGATGGGAACTAACGAGATTTTAAAATGGTCTCCACCGATTATAGCTCGAAATGGATTCTCACGCTTGGCACAAGTTAACAAGTATTACCCAATCTATTTATTTCGAAACTTCCTTCATGCTTCCAGTGACTCAAAACTGTAATGACGACCTCGGCAGACCTTGATTTCACTAATAATCACAGTAAGAAGTGAGGGGGATGCGGACCTGGTGAAAATATTAAACTCTTTCCCCTAGAAGCACCATGGGTTATTTATCAAGTGAGGCCCGGGTTGACCCTGCAATATGTTAACACCAGATGTCCGATTTTGTTGATGTTCCTACTGAAACCGACGAAAACTGACGGCTTTCACTACTAGACTTGGTACTCTTTTGAACTAATGCTGGGTCTCACTGGGTAACGTAAGCAAGCTTCTCTCGTAGAGTGACTCCCAAAAAAATGGCTAGGGAAGTGGTCTCAACTGAAGTGGGTGCGCAACCTTCTGCATTTTCTCGACCCTCGCTTGCTTGTTGGTATCGGAGATGAGATGGCACTACTGCACATGGTAAGTGCGGCTATGCAGTTCTCCACTGCCCAATTGCCATCGACTACTTCGATTTATCCAGCTTTGGGATTCTACCGACGGAACGTCGTGGGTTGCGGTCAACTTGAGAAAATTGAAAATTGAAATTTTCAGTCATCCTTTCGGCAGATGGCTAGCGTTCTCGCTCTCTGAGGCCTAATGGGTCATTCATATTGTAACTATTGTAATCTCGCTTTTCATTCCTACATTATTTTGAGACCCGTTGTTGTGCAATAGCAGTAAATAAATAAATAAATGGGCACTGTTTCCTAGAATCATTTGATAATCTTACGTACAGCTCTCAGGGGAACTACAAAATATTTGCCGTTATCCTTTGTTAGGGACTTGCTTCGTTCATGCGAATGATAGTAGGTCAAACTGAAAGACCTAAAAGGCCATCTTAAAGATAGTGGGTTTTCACCTCATTAAACAGGATCACATGAGACCTGCCTGCACAGACGAATAATTGTGAAACTGTAGTTATTTTTTTTTTTTTTACAAACTAATAATGATGTGGAAACTATGCGAATACTTTCGCTGAATAAATTTTTAAATTTCGACGCCCATAATTTTGGGACACCCTGTATTTCCAAAACATGTATTGATTGTGACAGTTATAATGCCTGCCCTGTCCCCAGAGTTAGTATAAAGTTTTAAAATAAGCGGTGACAAACCTCCTTTGGACGAATACCTGGGGCTGAGAAAGTTTAATTCGTCAACATATTTGCCCGAATTCGTTCGCCTAGCTTCATGTGCTGCTTCATTCCAATCTGAATGATTCAAAATATAACCCTTGAGCGACTCGTTACTGAGATGAATGTGTGCAATATCTGCGAAGTGTAATAGAGCCAGTTTTTCCAGTTTCCCTATTAATTTACCACATGGATTTAGCACCACCTTGATTCCATCAAAATTTATAGCCAGTCTGTTACGGCATAGGCATCGCTGAACTATCAATATTATTTGCTGCATTTAAACCAAAACCAGAAGCGCAATCACGTGAATTTCATGAAAATTATTCCCTGGATTCCAGGTGGTTTCTTTCAGACTGCATCATCACTGCGAAAAAATCTTTACGATTCTAAGATCTCCAGTAATGAACCCAATGGAAATTCATGGTCCTTTAGCCTTTCTGAAAATTTGCATTGATCACAGAAAACGTGTAAGGCTGGTGTCAGAGTCCGCGATCCGTCACACGATTCGCGCGAACGCGCGACGGATTGCAGAAATCAAGTGCCCCGATCAATACTGCGAGGTGCTCTCCAATCCCGCCGCCATTTCTGCTTGATGGTGATGGTTGAATGACGACTGTTCATGATTCTACTTGTTTCATATTCAGTGTTTCAAATGTTCAAATGGGGCACTTGCGATTTTTGCGATTCGCGCGAATCGCGCGACGGATCGCGGACTCTGACACCAGCCTCGGGAATATCTTACAGGGGAGAGTTGCCCAAAACCTCCACCGCCGAATGTCCAATTGCCATCCTGGAACGGATCTGTCGGAAATGTTTTCGTGGGTGATCGGTCTCCATGACGCCATATCTAAAACGATAGGAATATACAGGCTATTCAATCAATTCACGTATCAGTCATATTATACTGTCCAAAAGTAATGTTTGTTTCAACACCGCGTGTCTCCTGTTTGTTCGCAATATCTTGGCAGAAAGCTTTGTCTGAGGCTGCAATCATTGGCAGTTGTTTTTTGAGTCTTCTTTCCTTCACGATTATTGAATTCTTATATAACCTGAAATTTTAAAGTTTTTCCCAGGCTCGAGTCAAAAATTTCGAAGCATTGGCTCGAGCTCTATCAGGCAAAACAGTTCTAAGAGGTAGTGCTGGCCTCAGAATTCTGAATTTGAAGACTTCCATCTTGAAAGGAATGGACAGGGGTTCAAATATGAGTCTCCAACGTCTTCATTTCATCAGTTCGCTGATTCTAGTAACGAAGACTTGGGAGAATCATTTTAAAACAGCTGTACGACAGTACACCAGAACTTATTGTTAGATGAGCTGTTATTCAAAAAATTTTAGATGAGCTGTTATTTCAAAAAATTAGAAATGACTGGAGGTCACTGAACAGTGAGAAGGCTGAACTTGAACACTGCATGAACTACATATCTGAGCCTCAGCGTATCTGAGCGCCAAATCGTCATATTGAAGCATAGTTTATTCCGTTATAAAGAGAACGCCCATGAGTAATTTTTTCAGAAGTCATAAAATCACCAGCGGGGTCCCACAGGGTGAGCCTCATCTTCGCTGTCACTCGAAGGAGAAATTCACGATAAGAACGGGGTAGAGGCAACAATGAGACGTAGTAATAGTTCACTCTATTCAACCTGACTTCCCACAGGGCTATAGTATGCGGTGGCTCGTCTCTTCCTGCGCGCGCGGACGGCCGCCTCCTGGGGACCCTCTAGGGAAATAATTATTGTTCATTTTTATGTTTATTTATAACGTTGCGCTTAAGGCAAACGCAAGAAATACAAAGTTGTACAATTTATGACTGTAATTATCAAAGCCGTCAAAAAAAAGACAAGCAGGCACTGGAAAACTTAACAATGTAGCATAATTAGGCGCCCGATAAGCCGGAATTCTGGAGAAGCCTATTACTCACCATGGCCCGAAGCAGCATCACGATAGAGGGCGGAGCGCTGGTTGGTAAGCATATGTACCACACGAATCAGCCACTAGGTTGCCAGGGAAGCGAGGTTTAGCGCTTGCACGGCGGAACGAACACTGTTTGGTGAGCAGGACTTCGAAACGCCTGCCCAAAAGCTCCGCCCTAGTTTACTTGGTGATTTGGACGAGCTGCGTGGCCAGCAGCGGCGCAAATGGAGCATCTCGATTAAGCGTGGTTTGGCATGGTGCCATCAAACGCGTTGCGGTGAACTCGTTCATACGTCCACTTTCTGAGCTGTTACCTGTTCATGAGTGAAAACCAACGGCCAGAAAGAGGGGTCCCGTTTGCGTTTTCTTGACAGATTTCGGATCTCCGCTTTTTTCGCCACCTGGCGTACCACTGAGCACCACCACGTATCCCCTGAGCATTTCTTGGACCTATTCTAATCGCTGCCTTCAATAGATGTGAATTCAAACCTTGCATGGCGTAATGTTATTTATTTTTCAAATTCGGCAGAATCAGAAAAGAATGTGGAAATGTTTAGTAAATATTAACCGGGTTTCTCATGATAGCGATCGAAATTAATAAATTGATAATCCTTCTATTTATAAAGCGCTAACTTTGTGTGTCGGTTTGTGTATCTGTATGTGTGTGTGTGCGTGTGTGTGTATGTGTATGTGTGTCCGTCCGCAAAATGAAGTGAGTGAGAAGGAAGCTCATGGGATAAACAAACCGCTAACAAATCGGGTAGCTTACAGGATTTGAGATATCAATGTTTTGTAGCAGGATAGTTGTGATAACACTCTTAGGGCTATATAAACACCTGCTTAGCACACTTCCGTTCATTCCACATGGTGCTGCAGTGGCAGCTGGAGGGCAGTGGAGAGAGGAAGGGAGGATGAGGAAGGGAAGCGAAAAATCTACCGTCATATCATGATTGTGTCCCTTCTACTGTATGAAACACCATTGTGTTGCATACGCGTCACTTCCACGAGGTGTTGGTGTCACAGGAGGAAGGGACCATAGCGGAGGATAGAAAGCTTGCGCAGGAAAGGAAGGTCCCGGCGGTTGACGGGGGACTAATCTGGTATTATATAATCTGGACAAATCGAAACTCTTATCTTGCTTTCACTCACCACTTGTACGAGTAGCAACTCCATTCCATCATCTACCGTAGTTGCTGCCAACGCCCACGAACACAAAAGCACAAGCAAAGCAATCGAGCCCATAGTTTTCCCCTGTGGCTAGGAAAATTTTGTTGAAATTCTCAATCAACACAGTTGAACCAACTCGAAATCAATAGAAATTTAATAAGGATCGAGCGTTCAACAAAAATTACTAAAAAGGATTGTAGAAAGAGCAGGAAGCAAAAAGAACGTCATGAGAACGTTTCCATCTAGCGTGCAGCAGTCTTATCACTCTATCAACGATTGTAAAACGGACAGCTTTCTTTGAGTTTTTTGAAGGCTAAACACCCTTCCATTCCTTGAATTCAACATTCGATTGTAAACAGCACAACAATTCCTCGAAGAGCTACTGTGTTGCAAAAATCAGAAAGTATTTATTGAATGGAGTATTATCTTTCAATGATTCTTCCCTTGCTCAGCTTCTACTGCCCTGACCCTCCTCTACATTGCTCATATAATTAGAGCCCCGCGGAAGATCCAACGATAAGGTTGGAAGGTCGAAGAAGGGAAAATTTACCCAGTCGAAATGCACGTGAGCCCCCTAAGGGTGCGGGGTGATGCGCGTTTCGGCGAGAGTGTGCCGTTCAGCGGCCTAGCAGCGCAATACCTGCGCTGATCGCGCCAATGCCCGCCCACTATCTCGTCGTCTGACTCTGACCGTTTAACAGAGAGCGCGTAGCGCCGAGGACAGCCGCACCAAAGCGGAAATTTTTTCTTCATCCCTGCATCATTTACCAAATCTATCCTTATTTTTAATGAGCTGACCTTCATTGTGAACTCTGCCTTTAGGCGTTATATCACCACACTGGTGAATGCTGGGTTGCTTGCTTGTCTTTCTTCAAGGGCAACTATTATCATAGCTTCCAGTGTTTCGACTAGAAATTTTCCATTCCTCTCACCTGAATTCAAATGCGTGGCTTATATCAGAGGGTGTGCAACCGTTTTACTATAATTTAATTTCGTTCAAATTCACTTTTTTCTGAGCAGTAAGTAAATGTATTTTGGTGACAGATAAAGTGTTAACCAGTTGTGGTTTGGCGCTAGAAAAACTTTCTGACGTTCCGATAAAGATCGATCCAAGATTAGCTTATCACTGCCGTTGTTTCGAGCAGTATTTCTCAAAGAGCTTAAAACGGCAATTTGAACAATTCAGTGACTTAGCGCCGAGAAAGCTTTAGCGACGAGCAGCTTGA